AAAAAATGTTCAACATCTTTAGCAATTAGAGAAATGTAAATCAAAACTACTCTAAGATTTCATCTCATGCCAATAAGAATGGCAGTTATCAAGAATATAAAGAACAATAAATGTTGGCGAGAATGTGCGGGGGGGAAAGGTACACTCATACATTGCTGGTGGAACTGAAAATTGGTGCAGCCAATCTGGAAAGCAGTAAGGAGATTCCTTGGAAAACTTGAAATGGAACCACCATTTGACCCAGTTATYCCACTCTTTATACYCAAAGGACTTAAAATCAGCATGCTACAGTGACACAGCCACATCAATGTTTATAGCAGYTCAACTCACAATAGCTAAACTATGGAATCAACCTAGATGACCTTCAACAGATAAATRGATTTAAAAATRTGRCATACATATATGTGATGGAATATTACTCAGCCTTATAGAGGAATGAAATTATGGCATTTGCCAATAAATGGATGGAGCTGGAGAATGTCATGCTAAGCCAATCCCATAAAATCCAAAGACTGAATGTGTTCTCTGATAAGCAGATGCTAATTCACAGTAAGGAGGCAGGGCTAGGGAAGACTAGAATTACTTTAGATTAGGTAGAGGGGGGTAAAGGGAGAGGAGGACGTATGCGGAGAGGAAGGATAGTAAAGTGACATTATTATCCTGTGTACATATGACTATAGGACTGGTGGGAGTCTACATCRTGTATAACCAGAAGAAGGAGAAATTATACTCCATTATATGCAACATATCAAAGTGCATTCTATTGTCATGTGTAACTAATTAAAACAAATACAAAAATTTTAAAGTATATATGTGTATGCTCACATTTTTTAAAAGACAATAAGAGGCTCAATCGTAAGCTAAAGGAGGGGAATTATATGAAGGGGCAGGGGTAGAAGTTGGACTTGGAATACCCTTTCTTGTGTGACTCTGGAATAGACAAATACTCGACATAGTTATAAAATACAATTAAAATTTTTGTAAAGTCCCCCGGGTGCAGTGGTGCATGACTGTAATCCCAGAGATACGGGAGGTTAAGGSGGGAGGATCGTGAGTTCAAAGCCAATCTCAGCAATCTAGCGAACGCTAAGCAACTCAGCAAAACCCTGTCTCAAAATAAAATACAAAAAAGGCTAGGGATGTGCTCAGTGGTTAGGAGCCCCTGGGTTCAATCTCTGGTACCAAAAAAAAATTTTTTTTTGTAAAGTCCCTAAAATTAAAAATAAATTGAGACAAATGACCTATGAGTTCAATTGGTAGGCAGGCTCTACGTGGAGAAATTATAACATGGTAACTTTGATTATCCTTATTAAGTAGATGTACCCAAAGGATAAAAAGAACGCACCCATCATTTTCCCAGAAAACCCTAAACTGTTTTCAGTAATTATATTATTAAGCCAGGTGTGGTGGTGCACGATTGTAATCCTGGCAACTTGGGAGGCTGAGGCCGGAGGACTGCCAAGTTGGAGGCCCACCTCAACAATTTAGTGAGGTCCTGCTCAAATTAAAAAATAAAAAGGGCTGGGGGTGTAGCTCAGTGGTACAGTGCCACTGGGTTCAATTCCCATATCACATCTAAAATTTTACATTACTGGTGGTACTATGATATCACAGTTATTATTCTAAGACTTGTATGTGTCTCWGTGGGGTATAGCAAATGACTAATAATATGAGTGTGTCTCAGAAACAAAATGTTCTGGTTGAGATACAAAMGCAGGGTGCATGAGGTGAGGTCCTGACTGTGAACTGGGAGCATCCCTGTGGACTCTGTGTGTTTTATTCTTGTCCTAAATACTCACTGTAAGCTTTAGAAACAAGGACCACCTTCGTATGAACGGTGGCCACCAGATTATGGGCTCTAGAMAGGCTCCTGGGGAAGTGGCTGATTTCAAATTTAAAAGAGTAAATGTACAAGATCAGCCCAGGATACCTCGTCATACCAAAAAAGCAAACGAGGYGTCCAAGCCTACAAGTGTCCTGTCAAAAGGACTCAGAAGTCACGGGGCTTCCCCGGTCAAGGGCAACATCGATGAGGATATTAACTATCATAGACTGAGATATAGCAAATGTGTCTAATGCTATGAATTCCTAACAATATTAAAAA